AGAGATGGAAAACAATTTTCCAGGAGGTTCTTTACTATCTATATCCACTTCCCTAGTTGCAACATAAGATGCTATTTTACTTCCACGACATTGGTCACCAATATAAGAAAAACCAGTTGAATTGCCTGTCCAAGGTCCTGATCCAATTGATATTGCACTTGATGTTTTTAGTTGACTATGCGGAGTGACAGCAGTAGGCCCTAAAAAAGCGTTTGTCTTGCCAGCTGAGGGTTGATTAGACTGAAAGATGAATCCAGAAGCTGCATCTGAAGATGTAACAGAATTAGAGGCAGGCAAAGCTGATGCTAAACATGTTGTAATAGATGTTGTGGAACAAATGCAGCTGCAGGAATGTTCATAAAGTCTTTATCGGGAACAAAAGTAGAGATCATCAGACAAAAACAACTATATAACCTTATACTTACCTTTACTCCTTAACAATTGATTAGAGTCCTCGAACCTCAGCTCTTCATGGCTCTTGTCTTTGTAAAAGGGCATGGCAGAGATGGAGAACAATTTTCCAGCAGGTTCAGTACTACCTATATCCACTTCCTTAGTTGCAACAGAAGATGCTATTTTACTACCATAACGTTGGCAATCCATAACTGATTGTCCAGATTTCATGCTTGTACTTGCCGGTTGATATGCTGCATGGTAGAAAAAGTTAAAGCTGAAACTTATTATTTATTCTAGAATGGATCATATCCAATGTGTTGAAGTATCTGTGCTATATCTTACTGAAAGTTGTTATTTTATGTTTTAATTTTTAACTAATAGGAAAAACAGAAATAGAACTAACCTGAATAGAACTTTTTTGTTTCCCAAGCAGTAGGTCCATTGTTACTACCAAATTGTAAATTTGGCTCACTAAATTGCGAATTTGGCTGGCAAAATGTGAACCTTGAATTCTGCAGTTCAGGGTTGTTTGAAGCTACAGTGTTAAAGTTGCTAGGGGCTCCAGTTATGGGAGTGGTGGAAGATCCAATTGCGCCCCGAGATACAGAGTTAAAGTTGTTAGGTGCACCATTTGAACTAAAAGCAAGGCCAGTAGAGCTAAATGGTGGCCTTGAGCAAGAGCCACCATGTTGAAAGCCAGAATAAACCGAAGTACTTGTGCCAGATGCCAGCACACCGCTGCTCCCAAAAACAGATTGACTTGATGAATAAAAGGCATGGTTAGTTGATTTAGATTGAGAAGGTTGAATCAAACTTCCAGTGTTGTTGAAGATAGGTGCTCCTGAAAATGGCAAGCAATCAACAAATAGTTAACAAACAATGAAAAGAGAACGAGTTTGATGATTAGTGTGACACATACTTTCATTTTAAGTACATTAAGCTAGAAGCTCCAATTAAAAAAACAAAAAGACAAGAATCAAATAATCCTAAACATGAAGCTAAAGTTTTGCATCATTTATGCCAAGGTCAGCTGAATAAGAAACCTAACTTTCCCCCATGGAAAAATCATTTCATTTGAAAACTGTGTGAGTCGAAACGAAATTTTAAAAGCTATCTGGGCCAATTGGCAGCAAACAAATGTATATATTGGAACACTTATTCCACTCTTTGGCTTTACGTGATGGAAGAAACATTCTTTTGCCAAGTGGATCTTGTTTTCTATGGCAGGACAAAGTTCTTCTTCTACCTTTTGGCTTTATGCTAGGGAAGTAACTTTCTTTTGTCGTACCACTGGTCCCTCCTTGGGCTGTAGGTGAGGGTTCGAATCTCACCTGCAGCAAAAAAAATCTAAGGGTTGTGCCATAGCACTCCCTTGGTCTAGTTGGATCTGTATATCCACTAGCCCCTACAACAGCCTCCTTAGGTTCCCCCTCCCCCCTAGATTAGGATAGAGTAGATTATACAAATGTATCGTTGCTGACCAAAAAAAAAAAGTAACTCTCTTTTGTCGATTGTAGTTTGTTTTCTCTCCCAGCTGCCTGAGAACAGTTCACTCGAGTTAAAATGGATGAGAGAAATAAAACAGTTTTGAAGTTTCAATATGACAAATTGAGATCCTTGTGCCTTACAATATCATAAAATAGTTTTGCTTTTGTAACTTTTCTAGTTAAAGTTTCAAAATACCTAAAGAGTGAAAAACCGAATTTTGAAAAGTTCAGGGACTCTTGCCATTTGCTGGACCTATCAACAAATTCTTAAAATACATTATATTAACTCTGGAGTGTGGATGAAATACATCATGTAACTCTATCTAGAAGGTATGACCCTCTGAACCAGAAATCAATGTGGGCTGACAGAACTTTGAATTCATGTTCATTTTTGGATATAAACACAAAAATATTTCAAATGCTGGGAAGATATTCCAGAGCCTCAGATGGAACGGTACGTGTTGTAGTTGACAAGATTCCAAAAGAAAATGGTAATGGTTCACCAAATGGTGATTTGGATGTTGAAGGCGATGAAGTTACTCCAAATGGTGATTTGGATGTTGAATTTCCACCAAATATTGCTCCTCCACTGATGCTACCAAAAGGAGTTGCTGTGACTGGTTTGGAGGAAAAAGAATTGTTAACGTCAAACTTGTTGACTTCCCCAAATGCTGATTGAGATACTACAGGTGCACTGCTAGGCGCCTGGCTAAAAACTGTCATTAGCAAAATCCAATTAGAGATATTTTTACTTCATTTTTCATTGAATAAGTAAACATGCAAAGCAAAAGTCATAATCAGCAGCATTAAGCTAGAAGAACGGGTAGTTACTTTTTTAAGACAATGAAAAACAGAAAAGAAAGCATACAACAATACAAATTCCAAGTGCAAATTTTTTGTACAGCTGAGGCAATTTTGATATTTAAGGGGGGAATGATTGGAAGACTAAATCCATCAACCAAAATAGCATATGAATTGAAGGATTATTTGCCAGAGCATGTAAGTCCGTAGTATAATTAACAGTGACCATTCAAACATAAAACAGTCCACTAGTTCATATTCAATTAACAATGAAAATTCAGTAATAGAACATGTATTCTTACAAAAATACTGACCTGTAGAAGGCAAGGCTGAAGTTTCAAAGGTGGTTGAGAAAGGAGCAGTTGTGGATGATGCTGAACTTCCAAAAGCAAAGGATGATGCTCCAAATGCACCGGTTGAATTCCCAGAAAACATGCTTCCCCCTGTTGATGTAGCAAAAGGGGTTGCAGCAGTGCCAAAAAAGTTATTGTTGCTTGAGTTGCTACCCTGCCTAAATACTGATTGAGACCCATAAGTGCTGCTGTTGGTCCACTGGCCGAATCCTGTTCTTCAGAGGAACAGAAACACACAAAACAAATAATTAATCTTTCTTTAAGCGATAAACTAAAGGAACAGAAATCGCATTAGCAAGAATAATAAGATGTAAAAACAAAGCAGATTTTTATTTTCTTTTCTTTCCTGCTGCAATTAAAACTAAAAATACCTGCTGAATTTGCGGACGGCGTAGCTAGCCCTGTTGATGCGCTAACACAAGCAGTTGCAGTAGCATATGATCCTGTGGTTTGCCCAAATACTGAAGCAGACCCAAATGGGGTGCTGCTAATAGCAGGCTGGCTGAATGCACCTGCCCCTGTCGTCGAATTTCCAGCAAACATGGTTGCCCCTGTTGATGCAGCGAAAGGAGTTGCACCACTTGGCGCAAAAGGGTTCGAATTGCTTAAGTCCGTGTTTGCCCCAAAACCTGATTGACACCCAAAAGGGCTGGCAGCACTTGCCGATTGGCCGAATCCGAATGCTGTTGATTAGAGAAAAACAAACCAAGTAATTAGTCAAGATAGGAGTGAAGTAAGTAAAGCAGGGATTTTTCAATCCTCCGGAATTCATTCAAGAGAAAAAAAAAAGAAAAGAAAAGGAAACGAAAAACCACCAAGTAATTAGTCTTTGTTGTAAAGGCATTGAAGAACAACGAAGACGGAATCAGAACAAGTAAAAAAAGAAGAAGATACTTGGCAGATTCTTGGGTAAACAACGCCGAATGCAAGAAAGTACAAAAAAAATTATACATCCCTTTTTAACTTACAATTACACGATAGAAGAGCAGAAACACAACAAGAATTTAAAAAGAGGGAGAGAGAACTTACAATAATATGTTGTTGGAGAAGAATTGAACATCTTGTTTGATTCTCGTATGAAAAGGCTCTTGACAAGAAAGTTGATCAAACAACGTGATAAAAAAGAGAGAGAGAGAGATACTTGAGGGATTCAAGAAACTGGTGGGATATTCATATTCTTCTTTTGTGTTGTAGGAAAAAGGGTAGAGACGTTGACAAGAATCTGGTGATGAAATGGGTCCCTTCCACCGGATTCTTCTTCTCTTCCCTATATATAGAGACGGTGAAGAGTTCTGCAGTATAGGTTAGCTTTAAATTCAGGCTAAGCGGTTTGGACAACGCTACCCAGTAGCTTACTTTGAAAGCCAACTTCTACGCGCCAAATCTCCCAATTCGTTATTAAATATTAATTTAATATTTAAAGGAGAAAACGACATCGTATATATTTGCACTTAAATAAGTACTTCTTAAGATAATTTCAGAAACCTTCCCTTTGATTTCTACAATATCATTCAGCATTTCTAAAATTTTTAAAATTTTACTTATCATTCCTATCAACTTGACCAGACTAAATATTCCTATCAAATATAACAAATTAATAACATTACCCTTGCTGTTAATAACTATTTAACCAAAAATAAAATAAAATAAAATTTGAAACTAAAATATGTAGATTAAAAAAATAAATTAATATCTAACAATGGTTCATATTTACCGATGTCGGGATGTGGTGAGATGACAAAAATCATGGGTAATACAAAAGTTTTATTTTTTTGTATTTCCTTCAAATGACTTAAAATGTTACGAGATATGTCAATTTAAGGGATTTAAATGAGATTTTGAAAAATTCAGTGGAGACAAGTTATATTATGAAAAACCTCAAGGGAGGTTTATGAAATTATCCCACACTTATTCCATCACCTGAACTCTGAGTCATAAGAACGTCGTCGTTGCAGCAATTTGCAAAGTTTTGACGTTTGAAAACAACTTGAACAAAAAACAATCTCCGGCGTTTGAGATTCTTCCGAGCGATCTTAGAATTTTTCCGGCGCTGGAATTAATTCCGGTCCAATAAAAATACGATGACGGAGAGCAATTGGCGGCGAAGAGAGCTTGCATTTCTGATTGTTTATGCCGTTGCCTTCTACGCTTTTGTCATCCGTCGCTCTCTCCAACTCTCCCATGGTGCTTTACTCTCCCCCCTCCCCCATTTCTCTATTTATGTCGAGCTTATTTGCAAAATTACTTTAATTCATCGCCTGCGCTATTTACACATTTTTCTTTTACTGATATGGTTGATTTGTAATTGCAGATTACTATACCAAGCTTTATGGTTTACGTCCTGGCTGGATCGCTAATCGCCTAAATGTATGCAAATTTTAGTTTTTTATTTTTTTTGGGTTAGAGTAATCCTTTTTTAGTGCAACAGCTTACTATTTTTGTGTTTTTTGAGTTTTCTATCGTGGCATTCAAAAGCATTTTGCATGAACTATGATCAGCTAAGTTTTCTTTTTTTTTTTTTTGTTTAAATATCTGTGTTGTTGGCTTAGTACTGAGCTGATCCAAGCATTGAGCTTATCTTGACTATTTTGATCTCATTAAGTTTGGTTTCTAGCTCTGGCTGATTATTATGTGCGTCTGTTTGTGCTGCAGCATGAAAACGATCTCTTTGAATGTTTTGTTGGGGCCCTAAGCAAAGCTTGAACTCAAATTTTAGTATTGAGCGTTGAGTAATTGAATTAATTGTGTAAACAAATGTTGTTCTCAAGGACTTATATTTAAATTATCTAAGTCATGCTCGAGTCCTGAGGTTTTGGTGTTGAGTTGTGACAAAATATCAATCTCACTTTTTTTCCCCTGTTGGCTTAAATTAGAGCTTGAAAGTGAAATGGACTTGGATGATTACCTAGATGATTCAAGTTTGGTGAATGAGGAGTTGTAAGGTTGCAATGTAGAGTTCAAGTTATCATAATTTGACTTTTGAAGTTGTTGTCAGTAAATCATTATTCTTCTGCAGGTAGGAAAATTTTCTAGAAATCTATTTCATATGTTTTATTTCTGTGCTTATTCCATTGCCTCCCTGTTAATACACTTCAACAGTTAAATTAAAAGTTTCTTTGCCTAATGTAGGCTTCACCTTTGCTCTTTTTCCTCTTCAGGATGCCTCTGATGCCCAGTGGAGGAACTTTCGAGGGAATCTACAAATTCTTACTGTAGTTTTTGGAATTTTTACACTTGTAGCTAATGTATTGAGAACCTACCGTTGTTTAAGGGCGAAAGGCATGGCATATGTTTGGCTCCTAATTTCTTTGGCATACTTATCATATCTACACGGAGCTTGGTATGTTCCTTATTTATGGCAATATTGATACCTATGCTACATGCTGTGGAAATATTGGTTCTCCTTTCTGACATTTTGAATTTCTTTTGCCATGTAGCATCATATTTATTCTCACCATTGCTTCAGCCAATTTTTTGCTTGTCAAGGTATGTCGTCAAATGTTGTATTCCATTGAACTTCTTCATATGAAGGTGTATACAGTTTTTGTGTTTCCGTTATTCAGCAATTACGGTTCCCAAGATAGTGCATCCTCATAATTTTTAGTTTTAATGATAATTATGTACTGCTGGAGCTATGCCATTTCAAATATTTATGTTTGAACCAGTGCTTTATTTTGCTGGGATTTAAAACATTGCATTATGGATTTTATTTTCTGTAGAAATTTTGAATTTTCTGCTAGTTAAAGTAACTCAAATGTTTGCACTTTTAATTCTCTTTCTTAGGAACGTAGGAAGTCACTTTTGCATAAATGATGTTTACTTCTTCACTTTAGCTCTCTATGTCAATAATTCTTTTATGAAGGAACACACGAAAATGTCTTACTTTCTTTTGAAAGAGTATTTTCATTTTAGTTGATGTTGTTTACTATTCATATTATGATATAACATACAGAGTTTTTCAGAATTGGTATTCATGCTTTGATGGTGCACTCTTCAAAAAGGCATTGAGCTTAACATGAGTCTTCTGATACAGTTCTTGTTTACCAGATATTCACTTTTGCAGATATTTGGCAGGACAAAATACTTCTCGTACTTGCTTTGGACTTTCAATTTATCATTTCTGGTCTGTAATCGTGTATATGGAGGATATCAATTCTCCAGTTTTGGGTGAGTAGCATTGTTCACTTTCAAGTTCCATAGGATTTAAAATAGTCACTTTAATCCAGTGAAGGTATATTTAGCTACTGAACTGTCTTATGGCGGTGGTTCTCATGAACAGGCAACATTGGGCTTTCCTGGACAACTTTCGTGGTACCTTTAGATGGCATATCTGCTTTAACTTTGGTATGTGCTTTCCCTTTTCTATTTGAAACTGAAACCAATTACTAGTATTTTCTTCTTTTTTTTTTCTACCTTGTTAACAAAATCAAGTGATGATTAATGTGTCAAGGAAACATGATCCTGCATATATCAGTTTAATGTATTGAAACCAGACTGGATTGGTTGGTATCAATGCTCAATTTGGGCACACTCTTTTAACATGTTTTACTGACCTATCATTGGAGGTAGAACTCAATTATCTTAGCTTCAAAAAGTAGGTTTGTGATGCTTCTTTAAGGTCAATAATTTTGAAATTGAACCTCAAAGGTAGACAACAGATTGAGCAATTGAATTCGTAAATAGCCATACTCTAGTTTTTTGGCTGCTCTATTGACTACTCGATTATCTTCTTGTCCTTATTATAACATTTAGTAAAGATAAGAATGCTATCACAGTTTAAGCACTGTCTTCTAGGTGATGCATTAATCTCATAGAAGCACACAACTAATTATGTGTTTTATGAAGACTGAAGAGTGATTTTTTGAGGGAGGGGGTCTGCATGCAAATACATTCTTTTATTCAAGCTGCTATCTGAAATTTTGAAGGGCCTAAGAGTTTTTTTTTTTTTTTTTTCAATGATAGAGTTTTTAGTTTGAGACAGATTCTAGAGAGGAAAATGTTTATTTCATGATTGCTGTTAATTTTACATTTTTAATTCTTTCAAGTTATGGCTTCCACAAATTTGTAAATGGAAAATTGATTCCTTTCTTTAGTTTAATTTTTAACGTTTCTTTGTTCATTCTCTTGCCAGTTGTATTGCGCATGATAAGCTATGGTTATGACTACCACTGGATGGACCAAAATAATCGATTTGATCAAGAGGTGCATGTTTTGGAGTCACGGATATATGATGTTTCTCTATTTCATTGCCTAGATTGTCTATGTAGCGATTGGCATTTTGTAGTTTTTAGGTGGCCCACTACCCAGGCGCCTCTCCAATGCAGTGGGTGGGGGTAACATTTATGTAACTTTACATCTAAAGTCGAGTAAAGTTTGTCAAGTCTTTCACCTATATTGAAGTGATAATGCCTCTTGTATTAGGTTCTCATTTAGTTAGATATGTTGTCAAGGTTCAAAAGAGTTCCTTTTTAATTTTTGATTTGCTGGTCATGACAGAAGCACATCCAACGTTGCAGTACTTGTACATCCGGAAAGATATGCTATATGTCATTACAGGTCTTCTACTGTTTTGCTTGAGTTGTTATACACTCATCTGTGGTACAGCTGTGGTCAAGATTTTTTTTAAAAATGAATATTGTTTTGAATTTCTTTCCATCTTTGTCAGGAGAGAAGTGTACAGAATGACAAATTCTCTTTTGCTGTGTACTTGTGTTATCTGGTGTATGCACCTCTTTATATTGCTGGACCAATTATTAGCTTTAATGCATTTGCTTCACAGGTTGGTGATTTTAATGTGGTTTTCATTTAAATTGTCTTTTTCTCTTAGCTTGTTGCAAGCATTTATTTTTGGTGGATTATAATTACTATTCCTCCTTAACATGCTATATATTGCATTATCTCATTCTAACTTAATTAGTTATTGTCTTTTGCTGTCATGGCAATATATCATTCGAGTGCAGATTGCGAAATGAGTAGTCTGTAATGGCTAGACTCCTAGAAATTAATTTGAAAGTAAAAAAAGCCCACATTCCATTTTTAACTCTTATCTGACATTCACAGATTTTTATTGGCATTCCCTACTTGTAATTGGAATGTACCTCAACTTGCGAATCATATGAAATATGTCTTTTGGAGGATTCATAAATCAACATGAAGTTTATGATTTGCAGGATCCTAACATGATATATTGTTATTTCAGTTGGATACTCCTCAAAAGAATTACTCATCTAAACAAGTGGTATGGTATGGATTCCGGTGGATTCTAAGCCTTTTCCTGATGGAACTAATGACACATTTCTTTTACTACAATGCTTTTGCCATCAGGTTAGTGGTTTGCACGATTAAGGATGGCGATACTTCTGTTATTCAATTTTATTCAATGGTATATGTCTGATTGTATTTTTTGATTTCGCTTCTTAGTGGTATGTGGAAACAGTTAACTCCTATGGACAACTTTATCATTGGTTACGGGGTAAGTGCTGATATCTATTGTAATTATGGTTCTGATGATGTGAGAATTAATGAATTGTCTACTTGTTATCTGATACCATGTTGTTCTATTATCATACTACAAAAGAATATGTGGACTTCTTTTCCTAGAAACAGTGACCTCATTGTAAGACAAAAGGTTAGTAAGTTTGATGGGTATTTCGGGTGCATGCTGGATATAAATTGGAAATCATATACAAGCTTAAGGGGTTTTTGAAACTATGGACATGAAATGCTAAGGATGCCAACAAAAAATCAGTAACAAAGTTTTCAAATGTTTAAATGGTAACTGTGATGAATGATTTTATGCTTTTTTGGATTTGAACCAGACCTAATTATATTATTCATTTCCAAGCAAGGTCTATAAAGACCAATATCAATTTGTATTATCAACCTGTACTTTTGCTTCCAAATATAATGTAAACTCCTAAAAAACATACATCAAACTTATCTTCAAAGTTTATCAACCACATGTTTGACATATCAGGATATTGTCCATTACATCAATAAGTGGATGCAAGTTTTAAAAGATCACAATTGGTGATACTTTAAGAGCTATTGTAATATCAGAGCATTATTGTTCAACATTTCGGTCATTTCAATTACCAATTCCCATAACATGCCCAGCTCAGATATGGCGTCATCCTTCAAAGGGCCAAGGTTCTTTAAGTAGTGCAAGAATCGCAAATGTTACTCCTTAGCTGGAATAGCAATGTGGCAAATAAGTCATCCTGTAATTGTGTTATGCAAGAGATAAAAGAAGGTTCAGTAATTATGTTGTTTCTGGTTGCTTTTTGTGATAGCTAAATTTATACAATATGGTGAAGGAAATGAATCCATGGTCCGGTTTATGTACTTTTTAATTATTCCCTCGGTGGGTTGCTTTACTCACCTAGTGGTGGAAGCCTCAATATGATTTTGATTTCTAGGTTACAATGTGACAATGCTGAAACTAATCAGAGTCAACGGTTAGCATAGCCATTATAACATTCATGGATGACTTATAGAGAGTGCTTTAGTCTTTGATTTGTTACTTTGAAGCCAAACAGAGTGCTGCTTCCTGAAAGTTTTTCATATTTCCTCTTTGCAAAATTTGTCTAATCCTCCTGCTGAGTGATATTTCAGAAGCTTAGATCTTTTATCTTCTAACTGCAACATGTCTGACAATCTGCACTTCTACTAGCAGGTCCTTAACTTCATGTGGCTGAAATTCTTTCTCCTGTGGCGATATTTTCGATTCTGGTCACTGGTACGTTTGTGAAGCTAATACGTATATGCCTGCATATATGTTTCTTCATAGCTGATGCCTCATGTTGTTCTTGTATGGGGATATTTAAAGAACATAGATCTAGACCTTTTAGCATTTTCAATTATGATATATTCTTGGCCTCATGGTTTTCTACTTTGCTATGATATCCATGTAGATCAGTGGCATTGAGGCCCCTGAGAATATGCCAAGGTGCTTAAATAATTGTTACAATCTTGAGACTTTTTGGAAAAATTGGCATGCTTCCTACAACAAGTGGCTTGTGAGGTAGATGGCTTTGCTGTTTATTTTTTTATTGTACTCTCTCTCTCTCTCTCTCTCTCTCTCTCTCTCTCTCTCTCTCTCTCTCTGGGCTGATATAGTACTTGGCTTATGCTTAAAGGTACATGTATATTCCCCTTGGAGGTGCTCAAAGAAAGCTGCTAAATGTTTGGGTTGTCTTCACATTTGTAGCCATATGGCATGATTTAGAGTGGTATTACTTCTTTAATGTTTTGCAAGTTATCATTTGTGTCTTTTGACCTTTCCCCTGTGACTGATAATCATCTTTGGATCCAGGAAACTTCTTTCCTGGGCATGGTTGACTTGTCTATTCTTCATACCAGAGATTCTTGTTAAGTCAGCAGCTAACACTTTTAAGGTGTGAGAATTTTCTGCAAAACTCAATTGTGCAATAACCATTTGAATTGAGGAGAACAGTATTACCGTCTTTGATTCTAAACTTCCTTATTATCTTTGTGACACAAGACTGGACTAGCTTCCAGCCTTGCAAATCAAGAGTATTTGAAAGTATCAGCATAATTACCGTAAGACATACTATTCAGCAAAGGGAGATGTTATATTAAACAAACTAAAAAGTAGCCTCTAGAGTAATTAAATACTTTATCTCATTCACAAGAAATGATATCATGTCAGATCACATTTACTTTTCCATTCTGGAAGCATTATGAGACTAAGAAAAAGGACTGTGATGGAATTAGGAAGCAACTTTTTTTCGTGATTTGTCGTCTCAAGCTTCATATTCTCTGTCACCAGGTGCAGAGTGTTTTTGGGGAATTCTTGTTACGCGAACTTAATGCAGTTGCTGGTGCTGTTACCATCACTTGTCTCATGGTCTGTTTTCTCCTCGTTCGTGCTTGAGCTAAAGTAGTATGTTATTACACAAAATTTATGCTGATGGTGCTTTACATTATGTGAATTGTGTTGAAATTGTTGATTATTTAGCTATCAAACTTGGATTACTGTGAGAAGAGAGAGAAGGATGGTAGATGAGAGAGAAGGATGGTAGATGAAACTATCTTACACTGTTATTGTAGGGCAGTATTTTTCCCTCAAAATCTCTGAAATGGTACAATTGCTTACTCTAACCTCTGCTCCTGTGCATGGTTTCCGTCTCTTTTGGGCTTCTTTCTTTTTTCCTGGTAATGTATGTATGACGTTTACCTCATTTGTCTCAACAATAGATTTGTAACACATGCTAAACTACTTGCTTCACTTCCAAATATTAAGACATTTGACTTTCATTAGGTTTGTAATACAAGTTACCGGTCTGATTAGATCAAGTCTTCTGTGACTAATCCCAATGAATATTCATCATGAGAGTTACGATGAATACTGTTAGACTGTTGTATGATTGGTTCATCCAGCACCTTATGTCAAATGACTTTGATTTACTCTCCTAGCTGTGTACTATTGTCTTCTAATATTTTGCCTTTGGAATTATAAGCTTTTGCTACGTGAAAAGCCTGCAACAGAAGTTTTAAATTGTGTTCTGCAGGTGGCGAATCTTGTTGGATTTGTCATTGGGCCATCAGGCATTAATTGGTTGATTTCTGGGTTTCTCCATAAAGAAGGTTAATGCTTTTCTGTCTAATCTTGTTTGAGACATCACAGTGCCAACTTTAATTGGTATGTTCTGATAATGCAGGATTACCTACATTTGGTGGCATGTTCATTAGCTTCTATATTGGGACTAAGGTAAAGAAACTTATGAATATTTGGTTATTAAGCTTGACTTAAATCCTTCATACAAAGAGTATAACTAACCTGTCAACTGGTAATTGCAGCTTATGTTCCACATATCTGATTCTCAGCAAAAGCGGCTTAAAAAGTCAACGATGTAAAGGTTAAATTCTTGCCCATCATAAAATTTCTGATGTTCTACTGCCTAATGTTGGTATCAAAGTTTGGTTTCTCTGGGAAGGGGAGTTTTAGGTAGAGAGAAGCTGGGAAGGGCTGTTGGGCCATCATTGTGAGAAGTCAGTAACCTAGCACTGTGAAAGAACATTCCCTGATCTATTCATCATGAAGGCGAACAAACTCTTCCTAGTGTTATAGCAGATGATAACTACCTTGTACGAGATGTCTTTACAGTTGAGGCTTTTTGGCGTCTGAAGCTGATTAGACAATGCTGTTTGCCTGCCTTGATGTTTTCCGGTAGATATTATATTGACCAGTTCCATTCTGCTTGTACTTGGATAGAAACGTGAGCCTTCACATCCTACTGTATTTTATTGGGGTCGGTTCACATTTATACTAATCTGTCCAGGTTTTTTTTGGGTTTTATCATTAATAACATTGTGTGAAATTTTCTGTATATACTTGGCTTGGATGATGAAAACAATTCTGTTCATTCAAATGTCTCAAAAATATACAAATGTTGCCAGTGGGTGTTGATACATGTCTTGTGCTTCAAAATTCAGAATTTGGACCCTACGGAGACTAATAGATAGATGATCCATGCCATGACTTTTTTGATTGGGAGAAATCTAAATTCTAGGAGCTCAGGCGAATGTCAAAATGGAAAAAAAATAGAATTACAAACGTGGTTGATTCAAATGTTAGAATTACTCTTACGTTCTTTATATCTGCTTGCATATAAAAAAAGGTTGAATACCAAATCTTTTCACGGGTTATGGGATTGAGAATGATGCAGTAAGATGACAATGGTGTGTCATGTGCATTGAATGATGGCAATTACGAAGCCACGTTTGTTCTTGATGGTTCGTTTCCCATCTTTGTTCATCTACGTGCCTATATATATTTCACTCGGTGCTTAATGATAGTATTTGGTTTTGTGAAGAAATTTCTGAATCAGTCAATTTTCTTTGTTGTTATTCTTCTTGTTACTTTGGTACATAAAATTGTTGTTCCTGGCTGGCACAGCAATAACGTGACACTTAATTTTACATCATAGAGATAGTAATTCTGCAATGGACAGTGAACTTACTGAAACTCCGACAACCTCCAAACTGTGTACACAAATTACAGTCCATTTTCTTGCATATAATGATGAAAATGCTACTGTAAATTATTCTGTTCACTGATTTTCATTTTCTGCTGCTCAGCATAATGACCAAAGGCTGCTCCTTTTGCAGTGTTATTCCAAATTTTTCACTCATGTCCATGTGTTGAGGTAGCATGTTGTCTGGGAGAGACCACTCAAAATGATAAATCAAAGAAGCCAAGGTCAAGCATACTTGCCTAGCTGCCATAGGCAATCCAGGACACATCCTCCTTCCAGCACCAAAAGGCAAGAATTCAAAGTCATTCCCTTTGAAATCCAAGTCACAACTGAGAAACCTCTCTGGATTGAAGCTTGATGGATCTTCCCAGATGTTGGGATCTCTTCCAATGGCCCATACGTTCACCAAAACTTCAGTCCCCATTGGGATAGTGTAGTTCATAACTTGACATGTTTCCGTGGCACGACGGGGGAGAAGCAATGGGGCGGGAGGGTGTAATCTCAAGATTTCTTTAACACATGCTTGTAGGTAAGGAAGCCTGGTTAAGCCTGATTCCTTTATCAAATTTTCCCCTGAGAATTCTATCTGATCAAGTTCTTGCCGAATCATGTCTAAGAACTTGGGATTCCTTAATAATTCGGCCATCGCCCATTCAACCGTGGAGGTGCTAGTATCTGACCCTGCAGCAAACAGTTCCTGTCCCACCAGATATAAAATTAAATCCTCCAAGGCTGATTTGAAAAGCAGTAGTCTTCTGTCCCATTCATATGCCATTCTTATTGACATATTATTCGTTTCTCTCAATAATGTATGTCATGACTTAAAAAGAAAAAAAATCAAATAATTTCTTTTCCATCCATCTTATAAGACAAATTCACTTATGTTGGAGTAATAACTATCCACTGAACTTTGAATAGAATGGCATGTGCGAAAAATTAAACCTGAAGAGTTGTAATAGGTTTCCATTTTTTTTTTTTTGGTTTTTTTTGGGGGGGGGGGGGGGGGGGGTGCATAGGAAACTGCATTTCATTACATCAATTGGGACATATCCGTGCAAATTGATAATGCATACAAGGCGGAATGTTAAACCTTAGTGGAACATGTGATGAAATGTTAATTCTGTTTGGATTGTAAATTATTTGAGATATTTTTACTGTAGCACTTTTTGTGATGTGATGTATGTGAGATAAAAAGGTAATTGGGAAGATAAAAAAGTGTATTGAAAATTGTAATGATGATGTAAGCAAATAAATTTTGGCAAATAAGTCTCTATCCAAACAAAACCATTAATATTAATACTTTCGTGAGTGAACGCTAGTTATATACTTTTTGACTCCAGAGTTTAGATTGATGTCTTGATCTACAAGATGAATTAATCTTTGATATATTGGCAATATATATGCTAGTGAAACTAGATATACGCAGCATGTGCAAATTTTCTAGATTAGCTATTGCTAGGAGGTTGAAAAATTTATAAGCAAGCTTTTAGATTTTTTTAAGTGGGGTTATATTTGATCTCGTAGGTTTTAGTGAAAGCCTTTGGGATGCAAAATGATTCAAAGGCTGCAAATATTGTTAAAATCACTTGAAATGAAGACTGAGTTATAAATAATAGTTTGCTCGATTGGCTTGGTATGGTGGCAAATTTGCGGTGGTTTTAGAAAAAGAAATTGTACATGATTAAACTAACCTTTTCTCTTTGTTGTTATGTCAATAAGGGTATATTAGGATTTTTGAAGAGAAATGTAGTATATCGTGTCTACGTAGTTACCTAAATAGTACAAGTAGGGGAGGTAGATGTAATTTTAAAAATTAAGGGGAGGTGACTGCAATTATTGTAAACCTCAGGGGGGGTCTCTGAAATTATCCCTATTTTTTAATGTTGTTGACCAGATAAAGAGAAAGAGAGGAAGGAAAGAGAGTTCTTACCAGGTGCAAGTAATTAATCTGATCGTCTGAGAAATCATTCTGAAGCAACACATCCAAGAAATCTTTCTGCCTCGTTGAATCTTGGTATTTCTTCCCTCTTCTCTCTCTAATGATCTCTTGCCATGCACTGCAGATTTTGTTGTGACATACACTAGCCTTCTTGCTCAATCTCTGGAGGTCCAGTCCACCTAAAACTGGATACAGGTCTGATATATTTGGGGCAGTCCACAGCTCCATGACTTCCCTTATAAGCTCACTCATTCCACCACCATTTTCTACCTCATCATAACTTAAGAAGTCCTTGGAGAAAAAAATTTGTCCCAAGAAATTGAATACAGAAACAAATACAACTTCTGCAATCGTGATCCTCTGGCCTTCCTTTGAAACCAAAAACTGGACCAACTCATTCGCCTTTTGCTCTCTCAAATGGGACTGGTTTTCGATCACTTTTGCACCCAGAATTTCACTTTTACAAAGTGTACGTAAAAACTTCCATTGGTCTGTGCACTCATAAGTCCAGCCGACTGAAACATAGTTCATGAGGGGACTCTTGGCGTATGAAACATGTGGGACGTGCCGGCCGGAGAGTATCCGATCATGGGTCTTGAGGATTTCGGTGGCCGCTGCCGGGGTTGACCCAACAACCACAAGTTGACTCCCTAGCCGGAGGGAGATCAATGGGCCGTAATCTTGGGCTAGTTGGGCTAATGCAACGTGAGGCTTGCTTCCTATTTGTGGGAGATTTCCAACAATCGGCCATGGCTTTGGGCCGGGAGGAAGAGATTGGTTTCTACTTTTGATGTAATTTAGGATGAGCCAGAAGAGAGGCGGTAGAAGGAAAAGAGGAAGGAATATGAAGGAATTAGCAGTTGAATCCATGAAGGTTCTTTCCCTTCCTTCAAGAATCGCAAGCCTATGATCCTTATCGCTATTGGTGTGCTCTATAATACAAGTAGCGGTTGTACAACTGTATCAGTATTGATACTCCCTCAATTTTTTAACGAATTAATTATTTTTAGGGATAATTTCAGAAACCTCCCTTGATGTTTTTGACAATTTCACTCGGCTCCCCTCAGGTTTAAAAAATTACACTTACCTCTCTTGAGATAGTAAAATACCTATAATGCCCTCTACTTGGTAGAAAATTTTAAATTTAAGGCAATAAATTTACAAACCCCAAAAAAAATCTATTTTTCTGTTTCTTGTCTATTTTCACTCCTTTCTTTTTTAGTTAATATAACCTCTTTTTATTATCTTCAATTTTGTAGATATTAGCAAATTGAAATTATAAAATCAACAGAGGAATCAGATTATGTGTTAAGTTAGAAGGGAATAAAGAGACTCGCAATGATAGAGAAATAAATAATGAAATTGATGATTGAAATGGGAAGAAGAACTAAAGATGTTGAATTTATCATATTTTGTTCGTTGTCAAGAAAAAATTTTATAAACTGTCAATAATTACATAAGGATTTCCTTCATTGGATTAGAAATTTTTATTATGATTTTATTGTGGAGGAAGGATTTATTCTCTATTTTTGAGATATTAATATTTTCAAAACCATAGAAGGGTTGTAATAGCGGTTCTAAGTCAGATTAATTTGTATTGAAAAGATATTTGAGCATTGATATTTGATTTTGGAGTATAAAATTGATTGTCAATAGGGTTTGTGTGTGTGTGTGTGTGTGTGTGTTTTACGTAGCAAGTATTGATACTGTATATGTAATTTGGGATCCTTTAGATGACTATTTTGGTTTTAAAACTTATGCTTGGATGATTGTTAGGAATTAGGTTTGTTGATTTGTGCAAAGTGTGAAAAAAAATAATTGAGTATACTATATTTTTGTTAGTCTAAAGGGTAATTTAGAAATTTTGTGAAAAAATCTAAATTGTTGGACTTATATCCTTACTATATTAAAAGTGAGAGTTGGGATTGTGAACAGTGCCTTATGGTCCGGTTATACTGTTATTTGTGTGAGCTTGAGGGGCATTTTGGTCGTTTGTCATTCAGTGGTAGTGGCTTTGCTGGGAATTTGCTTCTGTCCGCGTGTTTCTTCGCTGGCGTGTTTCCTCTTATTCCTACCAATTTGCTGTTTGTCTGCGGTGCCATGAGGGAACTTTGCACTCAGTTGTAAACTGCTCATATCACGGACACCTATACTGCATCATGCATAGTTTATAAGCTACGTGTAATCTTCTCTTGTTTTTTCTTGCGGTGCATTTGTGTACTCACTAAGTTTATAAGCTACGTGTAATCTTCTCTTGCTTTTTCTTGCGGTGCATTTGTGTACTCATCTCTTGTTTTTTTTTGCGGTGCATTTGTGTACTCACTAAGTTTATAAGCTACGTGTAATCTTCTCTTGCTTTTTCGTGCGGTGCATTTGTGTACTCACTAACCTGTAGAAATCCCAACTCGAAAGATATATATTTAGCAGTATACTAGAAGACTATCATTCCTGTAGAAATCCCAACTCGAAAGATATATATTTAGCAGCATACTAGAAGACTATCATTCTATACAAAGCCTTCTCTGGATTCTTTAGGTCATGCCAGTGTTTTTCTGTTAGCTGCAAGAGTGAGTCTTTTATTATTGTTCCTTTGTACTCCTACTTTCTACTTCTTGCTCTGACTTTACTCATAATTCAGTGATGCCGTCGTGTTGTATATAAGAACATAGTGCTTCTTTTACGCTAACTGCCTCTACATAGCACTTATATTTCAGTTACTATGCCATGCATGTATTCGATTTTCTTGATTTTTTACGCACCATTCTTTGCTTAAACCTTTGCCACTTTGTCGTATTTTTTTTCCCTCATAGGCAACCTTTTTTCCCAATTGAAAACTTTCATTGTCTGATTTTGCAAGGTGAGGTCTGTGGTTTATTTTTACGTTTTCGTAGTTTTGTCTTTATACTGAAAGGCTTAATGAGTCGAAATGTTTACACGATTATAATACTTCAGTGAACCATGTTAATGAATATGTGATGATTCTTACTGGCATATTAGACGTACAAGTACCTTTCATTTGTTTATTAATTGCCTTTCTACTACTAATTTCATTGGGCATGCATTTTTATTGAAATCTTCTTACTTATGTATAGCTAAGCTTTTTTAATGGGTCGCCGACCGAAATATGCAAACTTAGAAGAAGCCTATAGAGGGAAGAATGCAAGAAGACGGGAACGACGTGCCAATGCGAGTACCATGGATAATTCTGGTAAATATCAAGCCATGTGTGCTATGACTATAAATGCATTTACCATATGTGAGCTGTGCACAGTAAGGACACCCATGTTATATCAATTTATATATCAGTCATCCTGGTCTATTTGGTGAAGATGACTAAATAAACTAGAAAAAAGACTCTCTGTCACACCCTTCTAATAATACTGCTACTTTAGCTAATTTGTCCAAGTTCTGTTAGGCTACGATTGGTATGA